CACTGGAACTGTTTTCAGGATGAGGGTGCTGAACAGTATGATTGCTCAGAGCTCCAGTATGGAACTGGAGTAAAACCTGCTTACAGGCTTTTGATTAAGTGAGATGTCATGGTGGGTGCCTGCTATATTCCACCAGACCAGGTGGATGAGGCAGATGAGGCTTTCTTCAGACAACTAACAGAAATTTCCAGATCACAAGTCCTGGTTTTCATAGGGGACTTCAATCACCCTGACATCAGCTGGGAGATCAGTACAGCAGTACACCAACAATCCAGGACATTTTTGGAGAGTGGTGGTGTTGGGGTAATTTCCTGGTGCAAGTGCTGGAGGAATGAAGCAGAGGTCATGCTCCTGTTGCTCACAAATGGGAGAATTGGTAGGGGAAGTAGAAGTAGGTGGCAACCTGGGCAGCAGCGATCATTGAGTTCAGGATTTTGACAAAAGGCAGAAAGGAGAGCAGCAGAATACAGACCTTGGATTTCAGAAAGGTAGACTTTGATACCCTGAGCCAGGGAACTGATGGGCAGGAGGCTAATATGATTATCTCTCTCTATTCAGCACAAGTGAGGCCACATCTAGGCTGTGTCTACACTGGACCCCTTTTCTGGAAAAGGGATGCAGATGAGACAAGTCGGAATTGCAAATGCAGCGGGGATTTAAATTTCCCCCGCTCCATTTGCATGAACATGGCTGCTGCTTTTTTCCAGCTTGGGGCTTTGCCGGAAAAAAGCGCCAGTCTAGACAGGGATATTTCGGAAAATAAAGCCTTTTCCGAAAGGTCCCTTATTCCTCTTAAAATCAGGAATAAGGGACCTTTCGGAAAAAGGCTTTATTTTCTGAAAGATCCCTGTCTAGACTGGTGCTTTTTTCCGGCAAAGCCCCGAGCTGGAAAAAAGCGGCAGCCATGATCATGCAAATGCAGCGGGGGATATTTAAATCCCCTGCGGAATTTGCAATTCGTCCCTTATTCCTCTTAAAATCAGGAATAAGGGACCTTTCGGAAAAGGCTTTATTTTCCGAAAGATCCCTGTCTAGACTGGCACTTTTTTCTGGCAAAGCCCCGAGCCGGAAAAACGCGGCAGCCATGTTCATGCAAATGGAGCGAGGGAAAATTTAAATCCCCACTTCATTTGCAATAACGATGTGTCTAATCTGCATCCCTTTTCCGGAAAAGGGGTGCAGTGTAGACACAGCCCTAGAGTATTGCATCTAGAGAAAGGATGTGGACAAATTGGAGAGAATACAGTGGAAGGCAATGGAAATGATGGTGTTGGGGCATCTGAGGAGAGGCTAAGGAAGAGGAAGCCGGTGTACTCAGGTGTGGTGCACCAGCAAGAAGAAGCTGGCCAGTTCGGGCACTAGACTGCAGGAGGAGACAGTGCCCACTCCCATCCAGGCTCGTAGGGCTCTCCTACAAGCTGCTCTAAGAAGCAGGCAGCCAGACAAGTGAAAGGGACTGGCTGGGAGTGCTCCTCCCCCCCCCCCAGATGTCCTTTACTGAAGGTGAGGGGGTTTAAAGCCCTCCCTTCTTACCAATTCTGCTTGTTGTTTGCTCTTCCCCTGCTGTCACTGTCAGGGAGTGAGAGGAAAGCTCACAGCATCCCTGCATCTTTTCACCTCCTGGCTGGTGCCAAAAAGGGGCAGAGGAGTGAGTGACCCATGCTGTGAGCTTTCCTTTTGCTCTCTGACATTGACAGGAAGGAGGAAAGCAAGCAACAAACAGCAGTGGTAGGAATTGGGGGTACCCTACCTAATGGGCATCCTTGCTCCCATACTCTCCTCCCCACACCCATAACTCCTGCCCTGAGCCCCTTCTCATACCCCCAACAATGACTCGTGCACCCCTCCACATACTCCCAATCCTCTGCCCTGAACCCCCCACACACACACCCTAATCCCCTTCCTTCAGCCTCCTGCACTCCACTACACACTTCAATTATCACTATCATATCACCTTCCCCTACCCTGAGGTCAACCCTCCTTGGGGGCGATATAGAAATGTAATTTAAGTTACTTGGACTGAGGGAACTGGGTTTATTAAGATTGCAGAAGAGAAGAGTGTGAGGAAGTGGGGGGGGGTTTGGAGGTTCAAAGGGGGATGTTACATATAGGGGGCTGTCAGTGTCCAGCAGTTACTGGTTTAATGTAACAAAGGTGGGGAGTTCATTATTTCAGAGAACAGCCCAGAGTTGGAGCTGTGGTGTCTGGTACCCTGATGACCCCGACCCTCCCTGGAGGACACAGCTAGTTCTGGCCAGATGACAGACAATGGGCTGCAGAGAGGGACCGGCAACCAACCCAGCTGACCCCAGAGAGGGGAGAACATTGGACGGAGGAGAAGATGTGGAGAAGAGGGGCTGGGGCTACCCTCTTACCTGGGGAAAAGACAATGGACTGGGGAGGGGCTGTTGCTGGGGGATACTGGAGGTTCTGCTCGAAGACTGGGGGAGTGGTTGTTTTTTGGGGACTGAGAGCAGAGCAGGCAGAGCTCAGCTAGCTCAGGGGAGACTAATGTGAGGGCCCAGGCCTACTGGCTGAGAGACCTGTTGCTGTGTTCAAAGCTCAATAAAGCCTTCTGTTTTGTGCTGGCTGATAGTTGCTCTGGTCTAGAAAACAGGGTGGCACTATTCCTTCTGGGAGTGGAGACCCTGGGCGTTCAGAGAAAGTGAACCCCCTGAAGGGGCTCATGGCAGAGGCAGGCGTGCGGAAGGCCCTGAGAGGTACCAGCCCGGAGGCGGAGGGGCAGACTCCTCAGGTGAAAGTGGGCACCCCTAGAGAGGGTCGCTGCACTGGAGTGAACTCCCTGAGAAAGGGCTGTCTCACTACCGCTGGAGTACAGTGGGCTCCCCGCGAAGGGGCTGCCACACTGGAGGGTGAGAGTCCGCCCGGGAACCGAGGGGCCAAGTGTGGGTACAACCTGTGAGCTGTGACAAAGAGTGAGGGGGGATTTGATAGTGGTCTGGAGCAACCTGAAGGGAGGTGCCAAAGAGGATGGAGCCAAACTGTTCTCAATGGTGACAGATGGCAGAACAAGGAGCAATGGCCTCAAGTTGTAGTGGGGAGGTCTAGACTGGATAATAGGAAAAACTATTTCCCTAGGAGAGTGGTGAAGCACTGGAACAGGTTCCCTAGGGAAGTGGTGGAATCTCCATCCCTAGAGGATTTTTTTAATTCCCAGCTTGACAAAGCCCTGGCTGGGATGATTTAGTTGGGGTTGATCCTGCTTTGAGCAGGAGGTTGTATTCAGTGATCTCCTGTGGTCTCTTCCAGACCAAGGATTCTACGATACTGGCACCCTCTGAGTTCAAGTTAGTGTGTCTTCACTAGACCCACTCATTTGAATCCTGAAAGACTGACTGTAGTAGCTTCAATCTTCTCTGTACTGTGGACATGACCTGTTATCTCCCGAAAGAAAAAAAAACAGGAGTTTTCAGGTGTCCTAGCGTAGACCAGGCCTTAGAAATTAACTGACAGGAACAATGTTACTAATTCCTATATATATAAAAAAATACATCAATGAAAGCCATAATTTTAAGTTTCTTTGTAAATTTAGAAAAATCAACAGCAAGATATTTCTAATCCCAAATCTTGAGGTATCAGTTTTGGCACTTTAACACGAGTACACTATCTTTAGTAGAGATAAATAAAATCTGCTTAAACCCCTTGAATATCATACTTGAGCTCTCCTTAAGAGATGTATCTGGGGCTAGGGCATGTGCTTTAACTTCAGCAGACCTCATGCTGATCTCAGGTTTGCCTTTCGGGCAAAGAGTTTGTTAATTAAGATAACAAAGGGCTTGCCATTTAAGTACTGTAATTGAAGGACCCTTAGATGATCATGAAACATTGCCAGGAACTCCACATCAAAGATAGGAAACGGGTAGAAAAAGTGTGCTCCGGGATTAGGAATTTGGATCAGTGCTATTCAATTTATTCACAAATGATCTTGAAAAAGATGTAAACAAAGAAGAAGTGGCAAAATTTGCAGAGGATACACAATTACTCAAAATAGTCAAATCCAAAACTGATTTCTAAGAGTTACAAAGGAATCTCACAAATATGGGCAATTGGGAAACATAATGGCAGATGGAATTCAATGTTGATAAATGCAAACTAATGTGCATGGAAAAAATATAATCCCAACTATACATACAAAATGTTGGGGTCTAAATTAGTTGTTACCTACCACTTAAGAAAGAGATCTTAGAATCATTGTGGACAATTCCCTGAAAACATCTGCTCAATGTGCAGTGGCAGTCTAAAAAGCAGACTATTGGGGATAATTGAGAAAGGAATAGATTATAAAACAGAAATTGTATTACCTCTACATAAAGCCATGGTATGCTCACATCTTGAATACTGCATGCAGATCTGGTCATGCCGTCTAAAAAAAGATATATTGGATTTGGGAAAGGTACAGAGAATGGCAACAGAAATGATTAAGGGTAAGGAACAGCTTCCATATGAGGAGAGATTAAACAGACTGTAACTTTTCATAGTATGGAAGGTAGAATAAAGAAACGTTTACACCTCCACTAAGATAACACAAGAAGCTCACCCAAATAAATTTCTAGGCAGCAGATTTAAAACAATGATAAAAATTATTTCTTCATGGTTAACCTATGGAACTCGTTGCCAGGGGATGGTGGACATGCCTAAACTATAACAGGATTCCAATAAGAATGAAATAAATTCAAGAAGAATAACTCCATCTATGGCTATTAGCCAGACTGGGTAGGGATGGCGTCCCAACCTCTGCTTGCTAACAGCTGGGAATGGGTGACAGGGGATGGATAACATGATAATTACCACTTCTGTTCATTCCTTCCAAAGCACCTGACATTGGCTACCGCTAGAAGACAGAATACAGGGCTAAAAGGACTATTGGTCTGACCCAGCATGTCCATTCTGTTGTTCTCATATAGAGTCCAAATACAGCTGCCCCCATGCTATAACCACTAGACCCCACTCTCCTTCCAGAGCTAAGGTAGAGCCCAGGAATGTGTCCTTCTCTGAAGAGTAAGCAACAAGGTAAGAATACACATTAAAATTTTAAGCCTAAGCAATGTCCTGTGACTTGCCAGAATGTCAGCTCTCTTAGTGTTAGAACTGAGTGTGTCTAAAATTTATTTAATTTTCTTTCTTTGATATAGGAATTAGATACAGTTTGGCTGTCAGCCCACTGATAAGTTATTTGCGTGTATAGGGGAGGGCAGATAAGCGTCATTCCCCTCTCAGTGTGCTGCCCTGCTTGTACTGAGCATGCTCAGTAATACTGCTGCAGCCTCTCTCTTCACTTTGCTCCCCGCACCCCGCTTGCCTGCAAAGGCAGATTTACCACGGGGCCAATTGCTCCCTGGCACCAGGCGCAGGCTCAGAAAGGCCCCATATCTCCCCTCCCCCCGCCAAGTGCTGTGCAGTGGGAGCCTGCAGGGCATGATGGGATGGGAGTTGAGCCCAAGGTACCCTGGGAGTTGTAGTTCCCATCCTAGAGCCCTGTCCCTGGATCAGGGAAGGGACTACATTTCCCAGCATTCCCTTGGCCGCGAGCTACAGGAAAGGGAGGGGGAAGAGGGAGAAGTTGTGGGCGTCTTGCGCAGCACGAGCTGTGACTAGAAACTTGCTGCTGGGGGGAGGGGCTGTTGCAGCGCGCGGGGCACGTGTGCGCGCGGTCGGTGCTTTGGTTCAGCTCTCAGGCTCAGAAGGCTCCCCCAGACTGGCTTAGGGGTGCGGGTAGCCGGGGGGGGGCGGTGCTCCTTTGTCCGAAGCCTCGCAGGGGAGCTAATGTGATAAGAAAGGGAGCGAGGCCTGGGCAGGCTTTAGGGTCAATACCAGGCACAAAGGAGGGGTTGAGGCTATTTCCACAGCCATGGAAGCAGAAATGGGCTTTTCCTTTCTATGTTTATCTTATACTCAGAAAGGGAATCTAGCACCTGCCTTCCAGATTTGACCAGCAAAACTGAAGTGTAATTTAGCTTGTTTTACATTATTGCTCCAAAATAAAATGCTGGTCCACTCTAATTTGCTATAGAAAAGTAAAATAAATTGGAGCAACAAATGCTGGAATCTTCCCAGTGTTCACTGGGAGTGGAATGTTATTTTCAACTGCCATTAGAGGGGGTGTGTGTGGTTTTTTTTCTTTTGAGTTTTCTTCTTTTAAAAAGAAGACAGTAATTGGCAATTTCTTCACAGAAACAAATTTTTCCTGTTAGGTGGGATAATCTTACAATATGAATCCAGATAATCTCCAATCACACACACTGAAAATTGTTCCCCTTACTGTAGTTCTGTAACCAGGCAGGATCCAGCCTTGTGTTCTGTGCACTTTTAAAATTCCTATTACACAAAGAAGGCACTTCTGAATTCAACCCTAGTACTGATAGTTTCAGCCCTGATAAAGCAGGTTTACATTTAGTAACTGGGTGAAAAGTCTCAGAAAAAATTACTGTAGGAGATATTTGTTGGGGACGGCTTCAGTTCGTTGTCTGACCGCAAAGAGACAGGCAATACAAGCAAAGTCTAATCACAAAGCTCTTTATTGAAGAGTGCATACGACAATAGAGAGCAGCCTGTCTCTACCAAGAACCAGCCCCCGATTCCTATAGCAAGTAGGGTTATATAGACAGTTCCGTCGCGTCATAGACTATTTACTTAAGCAACCCACCCCCCTTTGTTAGAAACTTCTAGCATGGGTGCATACCTTGCCAACTATACAAGGTGGCCTTGATACATTAGCAACTTTTTTTATTAAGACAGAAGGTGAGTACCAGACAAAGAGGAGACAGGGAGTTTTCTTATCAGTTTCTTAAGCAAGCTGTTCAGCTCAGCAAGTACAAAAATGCAGCTGTTCGCTTATCTCATGCCCTTGCTCAACTCATGTCTCAAATTTTGTTCAGGGACTACCCAGAACCCTTTGCTGGACTCTTCTTCGTCTGTCTTAGCATAACCGCCTTAGGCCCAATTTTCTGTGGCCTAACATATTGACTAGTCCCTAGGAAATGTGAGACTCTCTTGTTACAATAATAAAGCAGAGCAGCATAAAATGCATTTTGCTCCTAAACTCCTTTGCTTCTGTGAAAACACTCTCACTTTGGGTGGAACTGGTTATGCACAGGGTAACTCCACTGTCTTCATAGGGCCCCTGTCCCTCAGCAGAGGGGGGTTAGGGTTGTGAGCTTATTGCAAGGCTGCTGCTCAGGGATGGGAACCTTCTGGTGCCCCAGCATCCAAAATCATTCAGGCTGCTGTGTCTTTTTAGCTGGATGAGGGGTGTGTGGGAATTGGGGGGCCCTGGTGCAGGTGATGGGTATCTCATCTGTGGCCTACAGGGAAGCACCAAATTGCCCAATCTGCTGCTGAGTCCCACGTGCTGCCTTTGCAAGGGTCAAGTATGTTCAGCCTAGGAATTGCCACCCCTCCTATGGTTAGTAGCTACAGCTGTGTAAGGGTGGCTTCTGGCAATTGTCTCCATGGCTGTAGTCAGAGAAGCTGCAGGTAGGTCTGTGACTACTGGGGCCATTGAGCTAGGAGGAGATAAAGAAACTGAAGTTAACCTCAAGGAACAGCATTCACCAGTAGGAAAGGAACATCAGGGGAGCAGGAAAGAGGAAGCAAGTGAGGCTTGTTGGGGAATAGCTCCAGCTGGCTGGGGAGCATATCCAAGGTAGAAGGGAAATAAGCCTGGGGAGAGGTGATGTTGACCAGGTACTAAACTAGCATTTAGATCAGTGGTCTTCAACCTTTCTAACCACAAAATCACTTTTTTTATTTAAGAGCAATGTAAGATCTACCTCAAACCCAAATACCCTTACTCGGCTTTCATCCCACCCCTTCTTTAAGATGCTGCCCCTGCTCCACCCCTTCTCCTAGGCCTCACTCTGCTCACTCCATCCTGCTTCCTCCCCAAATCTCATTCACTTTCACCAGGCTGGGGTAGAGATGCAGGCTCTGGTTTTGGGCCAAAGGATTCAGTGTAGCAGAACCTCCAGCTTTAGCCCAGGGCAGGGGATTGGGATACAGGAGGGGGTTCAGGATGCAAGCTCTGGGAAGAAGTTTGGGTACAGGAGGACACATCTGGGACAGAAGGTTGGGTGCAGGAGGAGATTCAGGGCTGGGACGGGTTCAGGAAGTAGGCTCTGGCTCGGTACCATTTAACTGAGATGGTTTCCAGGTGGTGAAGCAGTGGGGTTAAAGCAACCTTACTCTTGCCCTGGCCCTGTGTCACTCCTGAAAGCACCTGGCATGTACAGCAATGGCTCCATGGCACCACGTGCTGCCCCTCATCTGCAGATGCTGAGCCCACTGCTTCTACTGGCCATGGCTCCCCATTACTGATCAATGAGAGCTGCAGGAGTGGTATCTGTAGGCAAGGACATGTGGAAACCCCTTGTTCTGACCTCAGGGGCTGCAGGGACATGCCAGCCACTTCTAGGAGCAGCAGTTACCCCGGGGATAATGATTCCAGCCATGACAGGTTTGGCATTTTAGAACTCACCGCTCAAAGAATTAAATGTACACATAAAAGAGAAATGAAAATGATGAACTCCACAGACCAGTCAAAAACCAAAAATAACCCACTTTGCAAAGTAAAAGAAGTGACAATATCACATATATGTGTTAGGTTGGGAAATGAGAGGGAAGGACAGTGTGTATTTGTGGGAATGACTGACACACACACAGTGTGTGAGAGTGGCAGAGATTTGCATTGGCAAGCTCCCTCTATCCTCTTCTCTCTGTGTGGAGATGGAGTATAGAAGAGGGAGGAGGAGAGACACCCTGACATCAGCACTCCCCTTCTCCCTCTCACACCCTGCACAGCAGGCAGGAGGCTCCCGGGAGGCAGCTCCAAGGCAATAGCTTCTAGGCCAAACCAGTCAGGATTGCATTCAGAGGCTCCGAGATCTACCAGGAAATCCCAGTCTACTGGTTGGTGATCACTGATGTAGATGAAGGAAAAAGGCAGGGGAATTCAGGATTCCCCGGGGCTAAGTGCTCACTTTGGGGAAATGGTGTTTGCAACAGTTTGCTCAGGTGGCTACAGCCTCTCTCCAACTTACGAACCTGTTATGGACCAAGCAATTGGTGGTAACCCGGTTTGTTTGTAATTCGGACCCATTACGCTTGGGTCGTAAATGCAAACGGTTGTAAGTCGACTGTTCGCCACTCAGGGACCGGCTGTACTTTGGGGCCCACAAAGATTTTTGTCACAGGGCCCATCAAATGTTAATCTGGCTCTGCATGCCCTCACTCTGCCCTCCACCATTATCGCAGCATGCACAGGTTGGTCCCCACTACCAAAATTTGAAATGGCATCTCTGGCCAAGACATGAATTGGGCAAAGATCTCAGCTTAATATTAAAGAAAGCTTACAATGCCTGGAGAGACAGAGCAAGCGAGAAATAGGCTAAACTACCCGAAGTCATACAGAGAGTCAGTGGCAGTCTGCAGTCTAGACATTACCTGTCTCTCTGAGACCTCACATACCTCTCACTCAAAGATAATTTGAAATGAAATATTTCTGTGCAATAATTCACCTTTGTATGAACAGCATATTTTGCTGAAAAAATATTGTGAAAATGTTCCGACCAGCTCAGCAGTGGCCAGAGTCCATAGGACGGTTAAGAGTGGCTGCCTCAAGCGTTCTTGTGATTAAGGTGTGGGGAGCCACTGGGCCCTGCACCCCCATCTTCAGCCAGATGTGACTCTTAGCCAGCAGGTAGAACAAAAGGTTTATTAGCTCACAGGGACACAGCCTAGCACAGACTTGTCAGCACAGGAACAAGGAGCAGTCAGTACAATCCATCTTGGTGAGGAGGGGCCCAGTGCCCCAAGCCCTGGCCTCCATCTCTGCCCCCAAGCCAGTTAGGCTCCCTCACACACCCAGCAGCACATCCCTGTCCCTCCAACCCTGCCTCCCCTTTCTCCAGCTTCCCAGACAAAAGGTCAGGGCCAGACTGAGGGGTGGGCGAGCCAGGCAGCTTCCCCGGGGTGCTAACCGATGAGGGACGCCCGATGGCAGCTGTAAGGGGCAT